GAGATAAGAAAGAAGAAGGATTGTAATACACGAATATTTAAAACCCATTATTTGATAAAGGTACTACCTGACTTAAGGCGAGTAGAATAAGGAAAACAGAAGACTTGAAAAAGAAAACAAAAGATTACATATTTACATATGTACAGAAATATTTGAGCCGGCCAACAGGAAACAACAACAATAGGTTTATAAAGGGATATCCGCGACATCTTGCGATGAAATTCACAGAGTAATTTGTTCTGGGAAATATAATTTTAAAATAAAATAACATTTTTATATAATGTATGCAAATACATCTAATTTATATACTCATATCAGTATATGAGTGGAAATAGGATAACCATTCCCCTGAGGAGAATGACAGGTTGTAATGTCAGGAGTAAAATAAACCATTAATACGGCTCTGTTGTTTCTTAATCTGTAGTTCTTTCAGTCTCGTTTGTTGTAGAATGAATTAACGGGCTGTCCGGATATATTCCCTACATACAATCAAAGTTGGCGGACTGCCAGATCGCACTAAGTTACCCACAGAGTCACTGCTTTAATCTTGAGATATTCCAAACAGTGTTGCCAATCTGATTGAATAATTTAAAATGCGATCATTGAAGCGACAATTCGATAGCATTATCTTAAGTTGTCCATTGGAGTGGAACACCAGAGATTTCCTGATAACTCTGTGACTGGTTTAAATTATCCAGTAGCATTCTGTTAGTTCCCTGCTGTCTTCTGGTTGGAAATGTGACAGTACATTCTGGTCCCCCCCCCCCCCCCCTTGATAACCATTTTTTTAAATTTTTCTTCAAATAAAAGACACTTCGGCCAGAATTGAAGAACTGTGAATGTCGGCCAGGCAGCCTCTATCTTTACGACAATTTTTTATTATCCCTAGTACACGTGGTACAGGCCATGATAATCATGGTGGTTAGAAGTAGGCAACTGCTTTTACTGTAAGTGCACCACATGTCTACACATCTGAAAAGCAGTTTGACTTTGCACTTACAAATGTTCCAGAGCCCCGTTTGGTTACTGGCACTCGCTGGTGGGGTTGGACTTTTTCAAGAATCGGGGGACATTGGAGCATTTTTCTAATCAGAAAAAAACTGCTCAATGCGGGAATCGAACCCGGGTCGTAGCAGTCGAAAACCAACGGTGTAGACCATTCTTCCACCGACCCTCATAACCAATTTAATACAAAGCAATAACCCGCCATTTATGTTTACTTGAGAAATAGTGTTACATTGTTTCAATGTAATTTTTATTCTTTGATAACTTATGAATATATTAGAAAAATTCTTGCAAACTTTGGGTTTATAAATGGTAATGTGATGAATTTGGCTTCCCCTGGTTTTTGCAATTTAGAATTTGATTTGAAGTACACCTATCCCCCGATTTACACGGTACTTGTTTTACACGTTTTCGCTTTTACACGGTGTTCCAAATAAGTTTTTTTGTTTTTGTTTTTATCGCACTATACTAAGTGCTACTGTGATTGAACGCATGCGCTGTGTACACATTCACGAGGAATCCCGAGCTTATGTGCTGACTTGCTGCACACGCACACTGTGTCTGTATTTCTTATTTTTTAAAATTTTTAATTTTCGATTTACACGTTTTTCTCAGGAACGTATCTACCGTGTAAATCGGGGGATAGGTGTATTATTTTCATATTTTTGATTCCTGTCTTCGATTGTTAGATTTATCAATTTGATGGGAAAATCTTAATTGATTAGTTCTTTTTTGCTGTTGTTAATTTCTATATTTCTTTTAACTGTATCATTAATGAGTGTAAAAGCTCTATATATTCGAGCTCAACCAATATCAATTTCTGGCTGAAATGGTGCTGTGAGCTGTAGTTCCAATAGGTTCCTGTATGTGTTGGTTGTTTTGTATATTGTTTCATCATGATTAATGCGCCCATTTTTAAAATTATTTATAATATTATTTTTAATATATTAAAAATTTAAATTATATATTTATTTAATAAATACCCATTTCTTGGTTTTTCAAGAAGCCACTGGGACCAAAAATATTTTTGGTCGCTATGGTTCAGCCTACTCCACGCTGACGAGCGCCAAAAGCGCGAAACGCGTTCGTGGATGGCTTTTCTTGATTTATCAAGAAATTGGGTTGGCCTAATATCAGGGAACAGGCTAAATCAATGTTTAGTTGATTTCTGTTCCACCAGATGGCGCTCTGCCTTCTGTAAAGCACATGTGCTCCTGGTCAGGATATGCCATTTTTAATATATATTTATTTATTTTTATAAAACATATTATATGCTATAAAACATTTGTATTTTGATACACTGAATACCCAACCTGCTTTAAACTTTGATGTGATAAATAAAGAGATATTCTAGGTGTTACCTAAATATATAGTTGTATTATTATTGACTGGTTTAACCTTGTAGGATGATTGAGACATGTTCTGATGTAAGACGCGTCTGAGGAGAGAATCAAGACTGAAGAATCTGCCAAACCTCAGCCTGGTGCAACAATATATATACCCCATCTCTCTATATAGTTTTTATGTTTCTCTAAATATTTAATTCACATCTCCACCCAATATACGATGATTGTCCCTTACCGCTTTTATTTTTACCTATATAAATATAATTTGAAAAAAGTACAAATGTGACATTGTAATGGAGTAAGATTCATAAATTTATAAAAAGGCATCTCCTTATTGTGCAACTGAAAGTTGCTGATGGCTTGCGCCATCTATCGGTATAAATATCACAACCAGTACGTGGTTAGCTTTGGTTGATTAATCAAGAATGGGTATTTGGTCAATTCTGGAATAATTAAAAATCAATAAATAGTTGATATTTATTCCGATAGATGGCGTAAGCCATCTGCAACTTTGAGTTGCACAATAAGGATATGCCTTTTTATTAATAAATCTAATTGTTCAATGGATGTAATTCATATCTTTATATTTTCTATTTCAGTATATTTTAATAGAAAAGTTTTAAAAAACTATTTTTATTCACTTCTATCTTGTTTTTCCAAGCATCTCTTAACATCATATAAAGGCTCCTCGAGCTATTAATATATACAGCTATCAGCTTAATTATCAAGCAACAATTCTTAATCAATTCTGTCACTGTTTGCTTTGTGAATGGAATAAATACCCAAATATGGCCATTTCTCATAACCATCGGTGGTTCAGTGGTAGATGCTCGCCTACCACGCGGGCGGCCCGGGTTCGATTCCCGGCGATTAGTATTTGAATAAAAGCATTTAATCTATATTAATAAAATGGAAATTTCATAAGTGGACATCACTAAAAACTTTCGTTACAATGCATCAATTTCAACCAAATTTTCAACATTTATGTAAAACGAGATGGAGCAGGTTTTGCTTAACATCAAAATATATTTCCTAACATTAACATGCGTAACTTCGCTGTTATCGATTAAATACAAAAAAAATCAACAGAGTTAATTTTATTTATATATAAATACAAAATTAAATTTCAACAGAGTTAATTTTTTTACATACTAGCTAATAATCTCAATCTAAAAAATATTCAAAACAAGCAATTTTAAGAAAACACCATATGTAAAACAGTCGGCCAAGAAAACAACAACGATATTACATCTTTCTCACATAATTCACACACAATCTTGATTAATAATTAAAACTAATCTTTAACATTGTTTATTATACTTCAACTTTTATTTCTACATTTGTTTTTAAATACCCAATTGTTTTATCATGTTTCTAATTTCGCCTAACAAATATACAAATTTATAGTGACCAACATATGCAAATTTTATCTTTGTTTTTATTTAACTTGATATCGTAAACATAACATCCATTGTAAGCATTTTTCTGTTCACCTTCCGTGGTTTCTCTTTTCTCTGATAGTTTTTAGGTGTAGTATATTTTCTTATTACTAGACTACAAACATTCCCTCGAGAAAAACCTGGGCGAAGCCGGGTACATCCGCTAGTAAGTAATATATATATATTTTAAAATAAAATATTTATTATATATATATCGTAATTTAAACAATGTGATATGTAAGTAATAAAGTATGACGTCTTTTCTAGTCGTCTCAAAGTGACACCAGCTTGCCACTGGACACCAGGGGGATCCAGAGAGGGACAAAGAAGGGGCGTTGGTCCGGATGTTGACAGTTAGTTAGGCTACAGTGGATATTTTCGGACAGGCCGCTCGGTCGAGCTCCGTTGTCATCTCACGGCGGCCCTCGTGGTTGCCGTTTTGGCTCCTCTCTGCCTCCGCGGCTTCATGCAGTACGCCGAGCTTTCCTCAGTTAATCCTCAACTTTCCCCGGTCCTGGTGCCACGTGAGACGTACTAGGAGAGCGTCTTTTGATCCCAAACTTTGTCCTTACTGTCCCGTGCGGACTTCCCACTCTGCACGCTCTGCCACTCAACCCCGACTGCTTCCAACTCACTTGTTGGCTTACCCGGGTTTACGACATATATATATTATTTTTTATTAAGAATGCACATATATTAAATTTATATATTTAATGCCATCTATCTTTAAAATTTGTAACAAATAAATTTACTGGTAATGTGTTTCTTTTTAAATAATATCGAATATTTTTTTCTCTAATTTGGTGAAACCGCTGAAAGGTTTGATGAGCCAAGCCCTTTCATTCAAGAACTTATATCATTGCAGTACGGTATGTAGAGATAATATTTGATGATATTATTGAAGAGAAACACGTTGCCAGTATGATGAGCCAAGCCCTCTCATTCAATAACGTATTACAGTAAGGTCTGTAGAGATAATATTTGATGTAATTATTGAAAAGAAACACATTGCCAGTATGATGAACCAAACCTCTCATTCAATAACTTATATAATTGTAGTAAGGTCTGTAGAGATAATATTTGATGATATTATTGAAAAGAAACACATTGCCAGTATGATGAGCCAAGCCCTCTCATTCAATAACTTATATCATTGAAGTAAGGTCTGTAGAGATAATATTTGATGATATTATTGAAAAGAAACACATTGCCAGTATGATGAACCAAACCTCTCATTCAATAACTTATATCATTGAAGTAAGGTCTGTAAAGATAATATTTGATGATATTATTGAAAAGAAACACATTGCCAGTATGATGAGCCAAGCCCTCTCATTCAATAACTTATATCATTGAAGTAAGATCTGTAGAGATAATATTTGATGATATTATTGAAAAGAAACACATTGCCAGTATGTTGAACCAAACCTCTCATTCAATAACTTATATCATTGAAGTAAGGTCTGTAAAGATAATATTTGATGATATTATTGGAAAGAAACACATTGCCAGTATGATGAGCCAAGCCCTCTCATTCAATAACTTATATCATTGAAGTAAGGTCTGTAGAGATAATATTTGATGATATTATTGAAAAGAAACACATTGCCAGTATGATGAGCCAAGCCCTCTCATTCAATAACTTTTATCATTGCAGTAAGGTCTGTAGAGATAATATTTGATGATATTATTGAAAAGAAACACATTGCCAGTATGATGAACCAAGCCCTCTCATTCAATAACTTATATCATTGCAGTAAGGTCTGTAGAGATAATATTTGATGATATTATTGAAAAGAAACACATTGCCAGTATGATGAGCCAAGCCCTCTCATTCAATAACTTTTATCATTGCAGTAAGGTCTGTAGAGATAATATTTGATGATATTATTGAAAAGAAACACATTGCCAGTATGATGAACCAAGCCCTCTCATTCAATAACTTATATCATTGCAGTAAGGTCTGTAGAGATAATATTTGATGATATTATTGGAAAGAAACACATTGCCAGTATGATGAGCCAAGCCCTCTCATTCAATAACTTATATCATTGCAGTAAGGTCTGTAGAGATAATATTTGATGATATTATTGGAAAGAAACACATTGCCAGTATGATGAGCCAAGCCCTCTCATTCAATAACTTATATCATTGCAGTAAGGTCTGTAGAGATAATATTTGATGATATTATTGGAAAGAAACACATTGCCAGTATGATGAACCAAACCCTCTCATTCAATAACTTATATCATTGCAGTAAGGTCTGTAGAGATAATATTTGATGATATTATTGGAAAGAAACACATTGCCAGTAAATATATTTGTTACAAATTTTAATGCAAATATATTTTAATAAATAATTTATAAATAAGTTTCAACATTTAGATATTAACTTATATATTCATTATAAGTTTTCAAATTAATATATTCACATGAGAAACTTAAAAAATGGAATTTTAATATAAAAAGTGAGACTGTGGATAAATATAAAATGTAGTTTTAGAATATATTTCGCTCCAGATAGACACTAATGCAGAATATGCGAAGGAAATAGTAAAGTTCTCTGTTGTTTCCATTTAAAAAGAAGAATAAGTGGCGGATAAAAAGAGAAAACTTCGCATAACTCGGCAAGTTACACGGTGGATGGCTCTATTTGTTCCCTCCTGGGAGTGGAAACACAGAAATCCTGGCGATTTGTGCACAAGCTGGATCGATAGGATGGCTGTTCTGCTTTTTCTCTTCGTGCAGGAGAACATGTGACATTGTAGATTCTTCTTTCTATATCTACATCTTTGTACAGGAGAAGATGTGACATTGTAGATTCTTCTTTCTACATCTACATCTTTGTACAGGAGAACATGTGACATTGTAGATTCTTCTTTCTACATCTACTCTTTGTGCAGGAGAACATGTGACATTGTAGATTCTTCTTTCTACATCTACATCTTTGTACAGGAGAACATGTGACATTGTAGATTCTTCTTTCTATATCTACATCTTTGTACAGGAGAACATGTGACATTGTAGATTCTTCTTTCTATATCTACATCTTTGTACAGGAGAACATGTGACATTGTAGATTCTTCTTTCTATATCTACATCTTTGTACAGGAGAAGATGTGACATTGTAGATTCTTCTTTCTATATCTACATCTTTGTGCAGGAGAACATGTCACATTGTAGATTCTTCTTTCTATATCTACATCTTTGTACAGGAGAACATGTGACATTGTAGATTCTTCTTTCTATATCTACATCTTTGTACAGGAGAACATGTGACATTGTAGATTCTTCTTTCTATATCTACATCTTTGTACAGGAGAACATGTGACATTGTAGATTCTTCTTTCTATATCTACATCTTTGTGCAGGAGAACATGTGACATTGTAGATTCTTCTTTCTATATCTACATCTTTGTACAGGAGAAGATGTGACATTGCAGATTCTTCTTTCTATATCTACATCTTTGTACAGGAGAACATGTGACATTGTAGATTCTTCTTTCTACATCTACATATTTGTACAGGAGTCACAGAGTATGCAAATAGAATGAGTCGGATGATCTGTGGAGATTATATTTGCTTCTCTCTACATATCTACCTTATCCTGTCTCTCTATTTTATTATTATTATTTTTAATATCTCTTTTGTGCCATGCTCACCTCGACCATTTTACAACAAGGCGCATTATCTCTAGGCTTGTAGTTGATAATATACGTGTAGTGGTGCCAAAATCCTTCTCCTTTGATCAGGGCGGCGTGTTTTCTCTACAAGTTATGTATTTAGATTTACAGACCTGGCAATGTTCTCCAGCATGGAGGAATGATGCTGTAACTAAGTGAAAATTCCAGTCACTACATCGAACATACCCCTTTCTGGTGAATAACTCCGATAGATGGTAATGTCTCTTCCTGAAGTTCAATCTTGTATAGAGTGAATTCTTTTTTTTTTCTAGTACACGTGGTACAGGCCATGATAATCATGAAAGGTAGAAGTTGGCGACTGCTTTTACTGTAAGTGAACCACATGTCTACACATGTGAAAAGCAGTTTTCACTTACAATTATACCAGAACCCCGTTTGGTTATTTGCACTCGCTGGTGGGTTTAGACCTTTGCAAGAATCGAGGGCTATTAGAGCATTTTTTTATTAGAATAAAAAGTGTCCAATGTGGTATTCGATATATACAGGGTGTACCAGGTAAATTATGATTTCAATCGATAAATTATGATATTGTTATTCAGTCGTGAACAGAATAATAAAACCAGTTTATATCGTTATTTGCTAGTTTGTTTTAATTGAGCTTATGGAATATAAAATATATAATTTGTGAAAATTATTGCCTGACTTGAGGCGTGAATAATAAATAAAATATAATATTACATATTTACATGTCTACAGTAAGAGCCGGCCAACGGGAAATAAGAGAGAAAATGGT